TTTTGGGGGTTCCTTAAGATAACTATTGTTTTGTATACCCCAAAACCCTATTCTAATTATTAAGGCTCCTATACTACCATTCAAATCATAATATTTAAGACCCCTATGATTCAAGGTAAATTCCGTAATTCAGGTGTATTGGATTCTCTCGCTTCAACAGAGCAGTCCGGCCTCATTGGCCTCCAGGGGGCGCTCCTGCGTGCTCTCGATGGCATCATGTGTCGATACATAAGTGTAAGAACCTCTCTACAAGTATACATACATGTGTATATGTGGATATATATATATAGATACACATATGTATGCCTATACACATAAGACGTATGTATGCATGTACGTATGTTGACATATCTATGTATATATGTATATATATATATATATATGTATATATCCAAATCTTTATTTCGGGCAGAAGAACTAAACAATTGCCGAAAGGACAACTGCATGCCCTTAACTGTGAAACGATAACAGCCTGCCCATAAGCGCAAACGCACAGTGTTATCGACGTGATGTCATCTTGCCTTAACAAGCACGGACACCATGTCTCACTGCCAGATTTCCATGTTCAAAGCTAAGGAACCAGTGAACTCTGAACCCTAAACCGTCCCGAAAGCCTTAACGATAGTGAGGTCTCACTGGTCCTGGTAAGACAGGACGACACGTTCAATCCAGACACCCTGATGAACCCAGAACTCCCCAAACCAAACTAATACACGTCTGTTTACGTTATAAACTAGGGACCAAAAGGGGAGATTGATTTTCATAAATCTGATCCCTATCACATTATGACCCCGAAACCATCTTTCGCTCGAAGTGGTGGCTAGCTGCGATGAATCTACTTGGAGGGTCATCGAAATTGGTACTGTAGCTAAGTAGGTTACACATATCAGAGCACGGATCCTTCGCACAACCCTGAGCCAACTTTGCAGTCCTCGCGTCCAGCTTGGTCTGGCCACCTGAGACCAAGGCCCCAAAATGGGGATCTGAGGTTCAGGGCCAGCTGAAGGTTATCCAAAGTCTACAGTCTAAAGGGTCAGAAGCCGCTGGGCCCTGAAGCGCAGAATTTCTGCAAGGTCGGATCCCCTGAAAATGGATGGCAAGCGCATGCAAGACGACAGGGCTTGACACATCGACCCACTCATCAGCTTCACGGGAACCATGCATCCTCTACAAAATGTCCCAACCCCATCCAAAGCCCAGGCTTCGAAATGGGTGTCGACTTGTTCTCTGTTTTGACCGCTGCTTGTGAGAGGAGTGAGGTTGAAGCTCCGTTATTGCGGGGCATCTTTCCTGCTGCCTTGCAGAATCGGCTTCCAGGAAAAGACCCTACAGGGAATCCGGGAGCTGCTCCATAGTCGTGCTTCTTGGCGGAGTTGAACCTCTCCAGGCAGAACCGTCAGCCAGCGACTGTTGTATCACCAACAAGTAAAAAACAAATGACAAGTAAATGGAAGGTGTATGTGTAAACATATAATGTACTTATACATATATATATATATACATATATATATATATACGTATGTGTATATGTATGTACACATTAATATATATATATATATATACACCTGAATATATATATATATATATATGAATATATATATAAATATATATATATATATGTATATATATATATATACATATATATATATATATATACATACATACATACATACATACATATATACAGAAAGAAAA